CTGCACTGTGTTCAAGATGGTGGCTCAGTAAACACCTCTACACAAAATGTATATAGTGACCACTTTTAGGCAGTCCAAAAGCAATAAGCATTCCCCAAGTCAAACTCATTTGATTTTGAACTCGTAATAAATATATTTTTGTTGTACCATCTCATTATGTATGAGTTGCTGAGCCATAAAAAAATATTCCAACCTCCATATAAAGTTCACTATAAAAATGGTAAACATGGCAATGAAATGAGAACATATAAATTGTTTAAATCGTTTTTGAAAATAGAAACTTACCTGACCGAAATAACAAACTTCAGCCTTCGGAGAATTGTGAGTAAATTTAGGCTTAGTGATCATAATTTAGAAATTGAAAGAGGCAGACAACAACGACCAAAAATTCCTGCGGATGAGCGATTTTGTAAAAAATGTAATACAAATTCAGTTGAGGACGAACAACATTTTATCCTAGATTGTGAATTTCTCAATAAAGAAAGAGGGGAGCTGTTTCAGGAAATAGGAATTAAAAATAAACTAAATAAAACAGATAATTTCATTAAAATAATGACGTGCTTCATACCCCTGGCAAAGTTTCTAAATAAGGCAAAACAGAAATCAGGTATATGATAGCTATCACCTCTACATTGGGAGAATCCTGTAACTATCCTTAACTTGTTTTTCCTATTAAGCTTTTAACATCTTTTATTTTTAATTTTATCTTATAGTCTAGCTACTGTATTTTTTCTTATGATTTGTATTTTATTTACCATACTGCACCCTCTGATGGCATAGTAGTGTAATAAAGTTATTATTATTATTATAAAGTCCTTTGGGTAATCGCTGTTTTTATGTAAATAATTCCTAAAAAATATTTTCTCTATTTGACGAGTCATTCCATATGGGGTAGATTCAATTTTTCACCCTGCACGAAGTTCAAAACAAGAACTTCCATAATTCTTTTTCTGTTCGGAGTTGTATTTCAGACTGACTGTCCCTGTTCATTCTTTGCATGTGCCTAGTACTTTATGTGGGACATGTGCAGTCATAAACCACATTGGATAGACTTTAAAAGTGGTTTGAGCACACTTGCCATAAAAAAAGGCATTTGCTAAACATATATTGTAAGTGCAAAGTAGAAAATAAACCACACACTGGGTGTTGGCTCATTCCCTAACATGTATGTGTTACTTGTGATAACATTATTAATCTTCACACCACGGTATGATTGACAGACAGCAATATGACCAAGTTTCCCCAATCTCTCGCCACAAGTGGCTCACCAAGCGCTCTATGAGCAATTGAGTCTGCGTCACAGCAGCACAGCGGCATCAAACTAGAGAGAGTCGAGATATGGGGTCATACAAAAAGTTTGCATGTTCTATGTCTGGTGATCTGTTAATCCTCTTAAAATATTAAATTGATGTTATTTTTTGTTTTATGTAGGCATCTGTGAATGAAGCTGCTGCACAGCTATGCAGTATTGATCCAACTTATCTTGCACAGAGAGACAAATTATTTCCTTTAGCAAGACAGGTAGTCCGTGAAAGTGGCTACAAGTTTAAACATGGGCATTCCAGGTAAAAAACTCTTGTTATGCATAAAATATATATTTTCATACCAAATTGAACTTGGATAATACCTCAACCGAGTTTCACCAGTAACTTTATCTTCTCATGTCTGGAAATTTTAGAAAGATTTCCCAGCATTTTGGCAATAATATCATAATTTGGCTGATTTCAAAACCACACCAAAAAATGTTGAGTGTCCATTTTCCATGGAGAAAACACTGGTGTAAATTTCGTTATTTATATCATTGTAGTTATATCAAAGAAAGCAAAGTAGGGACAACTGAAAGCATATATAGTCATGGTAACGAATCCATTAGAGGTTGTAGGTATGTGAATAATTTTAATAACATACCGGAATGCTGGTTCTTGTTTAATTTTTATCACCCAGAATGCAGCAATGGGTAATTTGAACAGATTTTATTTTCAGATGCATCCCATCAGCGAAAATAGCTGCAATAAATTCTAATGGAAAATAAAGTACCTTACAGTAACCTAGGTTACTTGTACACTGTGGCAACATAAGTAAAAAAGTCGTAATTCTGATATAATGTACAAGAATCTAAGAGTCTGGTGTGCAATGCAGAGCAATTGCTTTACATTAACTGAGATTCATTCAGTTACAGATGTAATTTTGTGGGATCTTCACTTAGGTCTGCAGTGTTCGACAGGGTCGGTTGATGCTGCAATAAAAAGTGCTGTGTCATCATGATAAGAAGATGGGTACTCAGTCCTGCTATGTAGTCTCAAATATGAAATATAGTTTCCAGGGCTTGAACTCCACATAGGCATCAAAGGCCATTGGTACCCTTCAATAATTCCTTTGCAATTCTTCTATGCCATTTTATGTGTTTTGGTCTGAAAGTGGATGCCCTCTCAACTATGAAGTTCAAGCCCTGTCATAAAATGCACCATCAGTGCTTGCCTGAGACATTCAACACTGGAAAATGTATACATTCTAAGTCAGTTGATTTACAGCGTTCATAACAGGGTAAGACCGGCATAGTAAGTATGGAAATGTTAGGTATAATGTTCTATATATTTTGATGTTCCAGGGCGGGCGTTTCCAAGGTACCTAGCAGTGAAGATGATTGCTCAACTCCAAAGAAACCCAAAATAGAGAATAATAATCCATACAGAGATAGCAACCTTGTACCAAACCCAAGAACTGTGCAGGCTGAACTAATGAAACTTAAAAGACAGGTTTGTACTACTTTAATTTCTCTCAGGAAAGTGGGGTAGTTTTCACAGGTTTGTTCTGACAGGTTTATGTGACTTTTATAGAAATCCTCCTTGCAAATGCTTTTATTCAACTTATTATTCACTACCTAGTATACTGACTGCATAATGGTAATTAGTGTCTTGCCAACTTCAAACATTGCTTGGCTGTTTCCACTAATCATACTCAACTTGTCGATTTGAGGGAATTATAAATTGAGGATTTCATGATTTGAAACAAACATTCAAACTCATAAAATTGTCAGAAACTATATTCTATTGTTCGGTTTGCAGTGAAAGGAGTGTTGATTATATGTCACACTGATACTGAAAATAACACTATTACTGTACTTGATTTTTGTTAGGGGTGGACGCTTACCCAAGCACCCCCCTTGGAAAAGTATGCAAATGACTATTTTAATTCACCATGTGACAGAGTGAGGGGGATATTACGTCTTTGAGGGAAAATAAAATTACGATATAAGTTGCGCTAAGTTCGAATAAATGACAGTTTTTTCAAAACACTGGTAATTTTTGATAGGTAAACTAAATATGGCATTGAAATATTTACCGCATTTTACTTTTATTAACATCAATAGTTTATGCACAGTTACCGTGGTCTACGCATTCACAATATGATGGTCGATATCCACACTGTATTATATAAAAACGATTGCAAGTATTCGTTAAGCAATGATCAAAGACTAATTTTAAAACAATGGCACTTTGCCGAATGTGACCCTGAATATAAAAATTGCGCAAAAGTGGGGGGTGGGCGCTTGACCTGGCATCGGCGCTAATGTGGTCAAGTACAGTATTATTGATTGCAAAATTAAGATGTAAATAGACAAAATTTTCTTTGGATGAACGCAGCTGTGATGGTAGCTCTGCTAGAAACAGGTTATAGAATAACATGCACCCTATACAACATTTGACATTATTAAACTTAAGTCTCATGACTGCCTTTGTATAGGGGTTGCAATCTATATGTTGCATGCATCCCCATAGTTCAATAGTGCAGTTTCGGGAATTGATACCTTCTTCTTGAAGTACAATGATACGTGCAAGTTTTTTACATGTGTGTGTATTTTGTTGCATATAGCAGTGACAGTAGTATTTCGGCCCAAAATTTGTCTACAACTAGTCATTTTAGACTTAGTCAACAGTTTTTGGTTTACTGTCAATTACTGTCAATTTTTTGAGAAAAAAACTATGAAGTAATATGCATAAAATAACATTTTAGCAGCGGTTTCCATGTCAACAATTCTCGTTAATGCTTCTAGATATCAAAAAGTACAATGTAGGATACTAAATATCTTTTTAGTCCCCGTTCGGACGCAGTCCGAAAACAGGGACTTATGTTTTGCCCTGTGTGCGTGCGTGCGTCCGTCCGTCCGTGCGTGCGTGCGTCTGTCCGTGATCACCTGTATCTCGAACATGCATGGACCGATTAAGTTCAAACTTCACTCATACATCACACATTATATGGGACATATGCACATGCATTTTTTTCATGATCCGATTAACGATATCCGAATAGCGGCCATTTTAAGGCCGAAAAATGCATCAAAATCGCACATTTTCACCATTCCGGACCCGGATCTCAGTTATGCATGGACGGATTTTGTTCAAATTTGGT